TCAATTATGTAATTTATTTTTCTTTTTATTATGTGTATATTTTGTGATGAGATCAGCAAATTAATGCTGACTGATGACACACATTAAAGTCGAAACGTATAGAATATTTTGTACGTATTTTCAAGATTTTTTTTCATAATCAAATTTTTTTATAATTTTACTTGAATTTTTTGAAGTTTCCTATTTCCAAATAATTTCTTCGATTTCTGCAAGAAGTGTTTATTTTTAGTTAGTCTGTTCAAAAGTGTTTTGTAGCTGAAGTGGTTATACTGAGAAGTCTAAAAATATTTTGTTAATTCAATAGTGACATGTTTTTCAAGACTTTGTGACTAATTATAAGGATTGAACACACTTGGATTGTAATTTGATCGAAAATCATGTAAGTAATAATAAATTATTGATAGTCAATTTGGAAGCAATTATTTTTTCCATTAAGAGAATATTTACCAAATTTTATATTTGTTGGTAATTAATAAAATATCGATTTCAAAGTCGTTAGTTCAAAATATGTCAATAGGACCATGTGCAACTTTTGGCATAGATTTTTAGTAAATTTTATCAAGTTTTTTCCCTATTTATCTAAAAAAGAGTGTTTTCATATAAAATTTGCGAGTTATTTGATAAAAACCAAAAAATGTTCCGAGTTCTATTCTATTTGTAGGTAAATAATGAAATATCGAATTCAAAAACGTTTTATTCAAAATATTTCTATAGGACCATGTGCAACTTTTGGCATAGATTTATAGTAAATTTAATCTAGTTTCATCCTATCTAGCTATAAAAGAGTGTCTTCATATAAAAATTGCGAGCAATTGACACTTAGCTCCTCTCTAACAACATTATTTTTTTAGAAAGAAACCCAACGGTTAACTTATTAATATTCGTTTTTCTTATTAGAACTAATTTAATGCAGATGATATTTTTATAATTTTCAAGGACTTTTTTACTTATAAATATATGTAAAATATAATTAATTTTAAAATTGTCAAAATATCTATCATAAACCAGCAACTTATATTTACATGCTAAGTTTTTTTTATATCTTTTATATATTTTTTTAATTTAAGTTTAATTTTCAGACATGATGTAAAAATAAAACTGAACAAATTATTTTTATCTTTAATATAAAGTTTATGAAGGTTTTTATGTTATCAGACATTGACAGAATAAGGAATACAATTGCGTAATAATTTTTATATATATATATATATATATATATATATATAATATAAAGATAAGACACTATATTAAGAGCTGATACTTTTTATAATTCATGTTTGATATTGTGATAACAAATGATAAGGTGACGTCACATGTAAATTTTTATAATATGAGAAACAAATATTATTTTACTCTAATAACTTATTAAGAAATTGATTATTGCAATTGCAATTATAATACAAATTGCTTTCACTTATTTTAAAAAAAATCATTTTTTGTTCACTTTTTACTGACTAAGTTGTTTGAAGAAAAATAAAGAATGTATGAAAATACTAAAGTCCGCATTTCAACTAAGAATTGTTCAAAATTTCAATATGCAAGTATATATAAATTTTTTTACTAAATTTTAGTATATTTTATCTAATTTTTACTGATGTAAACAAATTATAATGTTCAGGAAAAAAATTAAAAGTTATTTGAAGAAATGTAGAAAAATGTCTTAAATTCATATATGGATAATTATAAAAATACCAAAATCTGCATTTCAACTACGAATTGCACAAAATTTCAATATCCAATTGTATATAAATGGTTTTACCAGATTTTAGCAAATTGTGTCTAGTTACTGGTGTATACAAATTATAAAGTCATAGAATAAAATTAAAAGTTATTTGAAGAAATGTAAAAAACAGGTGCTAAATTCAAAAATAATCTTAAGGTGCAAAAATATCTTGTATTGAATTTATATTGAATTGTATTTTTAACAAAATATTTTAATTAAAAATTTGTATATAAAAAAAATATCAATTTACGCATAATATGCATTTTTGTGATTCTGGCGCCAAATCCTCAAAATTTTTGACCGTGATCTCATTGCTTCATAATATTATATATATATATATATATATATGTATTTAAATTACTACAAATACTAGAAACAACCTTTGGCACGCGTTTATATTAACCGATTTCGAAAATAGAAACACTCTCCAAAGATATTTCGTTTTAATACAAAATGCAGTATAATTTCGTATGTCCGAAATTTATCCAAAATGTAAATTGAGTATCCTGAAATGATCACAGTATTATAAACTTAATGATAATAATACTTTGTATATATACTTATTTGAATATGGTTCATAGATTCTTCAAAAAAGTATAGATCGCAAACACGAACTTTGTCATTACCTCGATTTTAATTACTTCCGCACTCCATAGAGTGCGCCACTAACTCTAGCACGTAAATTTACCACTAGATAAGGTTTCTAGATTCACTAGATAAGGTTTCATTCTAGATAAAATTTGTAAAAATATATAATATAAAAAAGATAAACCTAAATATTTTGAATACAAAAAATGTGAACTGAAAAATCAGTTTTTTATAAATTTGAATAGGGTACCACCATCTGTTGAGTGCGAAAAACAATAAAAACAGGTTAAAGCATATTTGTTAGTGAATTTTAATTAATTACGTTTATCTATCCGTTATTCATATAAATTATTAATTTATCCATTAAATTAAATCATCATGTTAAAAATATCTAAACTAGAAGGCCGTCAAGGTTTTCGTTGAAATATGTCGAAATAAATATTTATACTCGAACTGGTTATTGACGGAGGTCGTATTGCATATGTAAAATGATAGTAAAATCAAGAAATATTGAAAAAATAGTATTTTGCTTTGAGGCAAGTTGCATGAACTTCCCGATGAATATACATAATTAATTTGAACAATAAGCAATGAGATTTATTTGTATTTTTCTTCTCTAAAATTTGGTGAACTATAATAAATTCGTTCAAGTATATTTTTTAACTGGTTTAGTAATATTTTCGTTGTGATAATGTTGAAAAAAAGATATAAAAAATAAGCAAGATATAAGAAAGTTAGAATCAATCAACTTAGAATCTAGTAATATAAATAATTTATTATTCATGTAATACAATAAATTACTTAGTATCGACTTGAAAATAAATTCTAACAGTTTATTAAGTTAAAATATATTTGGTTTCAGTTACAATTAAAATCAAGTTAGAATCTAATCAGGATTCAGACAAAATCTAATAAGAATTTAGCAAGATCCTAACAAACCTTACTAGTAATCTTATTTGTATTAATTAAAATCCTGTAAAAACCCAATGAAAAAGTTGTAAGAATTTCATAAGATCTTGAAATAATCTAAGACACATTCTTATTAATTTTCTAAGATTCTTATTGGATTAATGTAAGATTCTTATCAGATTTTTATAAAATTCTTTTTTTATTATTTTTTAATTACAATATTTATTACAACTGTTAAATAATTTAATATATAGCAATAATAATAAATATTAACATAAATTTAAATAAATAAGGGTAAAAAGGATAAAATTTACATTTAAATGATATTCGTAGTATGATGATTTATTATAAAATAAAAGCAAACAATAATGAGTTTTATAATATTTTCTTATTACATTCTTGTTGGGTTCTTATTTGATTTTTCGAAGGTTATTCTAGGATTCTTATTTTTTTTTCACTTTTATCATACTCTTTTGATTCTTATTAGATTCTTTTTAGATTTATATCAGAACCTAAACAAACATACATACTTGTATAAATATAAAATTAAAATTTGAAACTAGTCTTGTAGTAGTTTTTGATTTACACTAATTTGGTAAAAATAACTTGTACTCTAGTATTGAATTTACAACAATATGACTAACAATCTTCAATTCAAAGAAATTCAGCTGTTGTTTCAATTTAAATAAAACAGACAATTATTACTTTCAAGTGGCCATACACCAATTAATGTTCTGTTACAAAGTAGAATGTTTGAGTATCTCTTTTAACTAAATAAAAACACATGGCTGCATTTCCAATGATGAATGTTTTTTTTTATTTATGATAACAATCGTATGAACAGATCACCCATTTGAATTTGAACAGTCTGTGAATAATATGTAGTTGTTAAAAAAAATTGTTTTATTGTTAAATTTTGTGCTGGAAAATTGGAAAATCACAGTTGATATGCTGAAGTTTTGTAAGAAACGAAAAGACGAAATGGTCAGTAGGAAATAAATTTATTAAATAAATTAATTTATTAGATTATTATATTTTTTAATTATCAATTACCGATTATCTATTTTTATAAGCCCTGAAACTAAGACCTGAATTTTCATTATCGTGTAATAAGTATTTTTATCTTACAATTTTGATATCTCAGACGTACTTTTCATTAATATAGGAAGAAGTCGTCAGGTATTGTAAATATTGATACTAAACTCTGATATTTGATTGATTGATTAGACACATATATCATATGAAATTATATAAATAACTCCATGATTTAATATTTTTATAAAACTAATAAAAATTGAGGTCAGAAACTGTCAAATTAATTCTAAATCCAATCAAGAAAAACTATTGATATTTATAATTAATTGGCTTGACTTTGCTTATAAGACTTATACATTCAAAAGATTTAATATTAATTTTTTAAGTGCAAAGTGTATTTCAATAATTTTTATTTATTTTCTGTTATTAATTAGAATTTAAAATCTATATCTTACCCTTTAAAAATTGTTTTGGTGTAATCCGCGTTGCAGTGCGGTCTCGTATGCCCGAAATTTACCCAAAAGGTACATTTGATTCAATTAAATAAATCAAATAAATCGAAGGAAAAGGTTTGTTGTAAATTTGTCTATTTTGTAGAAATTTTAATTTCTCATATAGTGACTATAATTGATATCAACATACCAGCTTTGCCCCTAAAAAGGGCTCTAAAAATCTCTTTTTTGTCACCAAATATAAAATAAAATTATATTCAAGCTATTTCTATTATATTTTTTTTATTTTTTAGGTGAATCCAGGTTCGAAGTCATCTTTGAAAGGGATTCGTGAAGGTGACCTAATAACTTCAATAAATGGAGAAAGTACCAGAGAAGTCACAAATGCTCAGGCACATTCTATGCTCAGGGAAGCTGGACAAACTCTTAGTTTAGGACTAAATGAGTAAGTAAATAGCCTTAAAATAGCATAATAAATAATTTATTACAAAAGCAATTAACCCTTGTATGTGGGCAGTTTAATTATTAACAAGGTTAAATGTTAAAAGAAATTTCGTTTATAAAATCAACTGCTCAGATTGTAACTTGATCTATGTAGGAGAAACAAAGCAAAATTTAGTTAAATAAAATATTTCCAGAAATCCCAGACAATTTAAAACTATGCTTGGGATTTACTAAAGAATTTATTTATATAATTTTTGTCATTTATTAAATTTTTTGTATTTTTTTCTAGGGATTCAAACGGATCTCCAAAACGCAGAATTTATAGAAGTGTTAAGGAAATCAAAACAGAAACTATTAAAGGTAAGAATTTGTGAAATTAGCTCGTTTTTTATTAGCTATATGAAATAAGAAATAAAAGGAAAAATTCTGTTTTGTTTATTCCTAAAAAAAAATTGCTGCTCGTAATTTGCACTGACCCTTAGAATTGCTTCTAACATTTACAAATACTTTCACTTCAACAAACTTGACTTTATATAATATCATAAGATAACACTTGAAGAAAATGATTATTTTGCAATAATAAACGATCTTATCTACAAGAGTGCAAATAAATTAACCTTTTGCAAAATAAACAAACATGAAAATTTGATCGGTTTGGATAATTTAAGATGAAAAATTTATTAGTTATAACCTTGTGATTTTATTCTTCTTTAATTTTATATATAAATTTATAATTTTTACTTTATTTTATAACAAACTTGTATTTCGGGATCATTGCTTTTGTTGATACTTATTTTGTCAATTATTTTACAGTTTTGATATTAAATGTCTATACCAACACAATTTATTTTTACTACCTTCATCAATATTTTCCTATTTACATTACTCGTGTAAAACTATTCCAAATATTTATTTCCCATTTCCCATTTACCATTTAATAAATTTCAAACCCAATCCATCAAATAAACAAGAAGCACGTGTAGTTTTTTTTAATTGGTCTATCATTTCGTATAATTGCTAGGAAACGACGTAACTTCTTTTCCAACATTTTATTTATAGATATTGAGATATTGTGAAATTTTACGCAAAATACAAAAATACCGACGTCTTTTTTTATAAATAGATGACCTAATAAAAATTGTAGAAGGCGTTTGACTTATTGCGCCTGAGAGATAGGTAAAAAATAGGTAGACTCACGCGAGAGAATAGATGTTGTAGGTGGAATCAGGCGCGTATCAATCTAAAATTCAAGAAATTTAAAAAAATTCAAGAAAGGCAAAACGAGTGTATTAAATTCGAATTTTTGAATTTTTTGTAAAAATTCACACATATATATATATATATATATATATATATAATATAAACAATTTTCCACCCAGTTTTTGTATATTTTCCAACACTCTCTGTATTTTTATTGCCTACCATTTACTATTTAAATTATGTTATTTATATTTCATTTATTTAAATGGTGTAATTTAACATTCTAAAGTATTTTTTTCTACATTTTTCAGAATCCAAAGTCAGCAGAGTTACTCGAATCACAGCTGACAATTGTGAGCCTTCAGTAATCAGCAAAATTCTTAGTAGTGTTCGTCAGGATAAGGAAAATAATTCAGGTGAGATTTTTATTATATTATAAAAAAAAATTAATTATTAACTTCTCGTAGGGACCCTACGGTAGAGTAAGTTATAGTTATCACAAAAAAAATCATATCGCATATTTTTACGTTCCAAAGGTTTCTGAACATTTTGACATACCTCAGAAAAAATGGAAGTGTGTGTTTTGTGTGTCTGCATTTTTTACTTCACGTTTTCGGGCGCACGGATCAACCTATTTGAATGGTTCAAAAAACATTCGATTCCTATTGATAGGGAGATGTGTTGATTAGTTTTTGGCAAAGGCAGGTCTAGCCGTTACGGAGATACGGAGCAAAAAGAGTAGAAAATTCAAATCGTGTTTTTGAGAGAACGGAGCATCCGATTTGAATTATTCAAAAAACAGTAGATTTCTATTGATAGGGAGATGTGCTGATTAGTTTTTAGCAAAAACAGATCCAGCAGTTTTGGAGATACAGAGTAAAAAGTTCCTAACTGAGGCAATTTTTATTCAGTTTTTTTAGAAAATTCAACTGTTGTCTTAGTGCGAATTTTCTAAAAAAAATATTTTACAAAATTCGCAATTTCTATTTTTTTTCTCTTTTCGAGATTTTTTAACAATTTCAAAATCAAAAAAAACTTTTTTTCCAAATTTGCAAAAAACTTAGACAAAATTCCGGAATATATAAATCTTAGAAATATGAGATAGAATCCTATAGAGTTTACATTAAGTAAACATATATAAGTATATATCACCTTTTGTCGTCTGTTTTATAAACTCTTATATTTCGTCTAGAAAATTCGAATTTTTAACTTCCCGTAGGATAAGTTTTATTTTTTTATTTTTAAAAACATTTTTATTTAATATTGAAAATAATTTGGATTTTATTTTTAATCCTGGCTAAAGTCCTAAAGCTCACTTATATACTTCAAATAAATAAAGTTAACTTTATAATTCAGTTTATATAATTCTTATAAATATGAGAAAAGGTCCTTCAAATCTAACTTTGCTTGATTAAGTTTTGTTTATTTCTGTAAACATATATAAGTTACAGTATTTATAATGAACTATTTAAAAACGTTTAATATTCCTCGAACATTTCGTTACGGTACGGGAAGTTCCAGCAATTTGCCTTAAGGCACGATGCCACTTACACCTACAGTTTATTATTTTATTTTAAAAACATCTGTTAAATATATCAGACCTCAAATAATGATTTATCAAATCTCAAATTACGCTTGGATGAAACTGAACCACCTAAATAAAATTATCAGAGCGAGACCCAAAAAATAATTTATATATGTATATATATATATATATATATATATTATAAATCCTTCTTGAAGGAGTCGTGTCGAATGTCAAAACAATTAATATGACAAAACAAAATATAAAAGTCGAGCACATTGTTTTCTTATAAGGTCTTGGAATAATACGATTCATATTTAGTTAGTAGATTTGCTAATTGTGATACAGTCGATTTAAATAAAGACAAAAACAAATTAAAATAAAAAAAATAAGGCAATTTTGTGTTATAAAATTCTGGTGAAAAGCCATGGACTATAGTCTTTGATTTTTTGGGAAAAAAATTTTGAGGAAAAACCATGGACTATAGTCTTTGATTTTATTTTGCCATTTCATTTAAGGTGTTATAATAGTATTAATCGTGGACTTTATGAACTCAGTATCTAGTTTTTACTAATTTTATATATAATTAAGAATTGTCTTAGGAAATTCAAGATTTAAAAATATAATACATAACTTATATATGTCAGATTTAAAATACGATTAGCTTTTCTTTTTGGAACCATCACAACTTAATTACTATCAAATCTAACTACTAAAAGTGTTTGGGATTTTTTGATTTTCAAATAAAAGTGAAAAGTTTATTTTCTCAGTTACTTCTAACATAAAACGAGTGTTAAGTTATTTTAAATCTAATTTTTTTAAAGAAAGGAGTCAAAAGTACTTACAATTTGCTTATCTTGGTGTTAAAAACAGAAAATTTTATAATCCATGGTTTGAGGATATGATTATAATTTTTAACTTGTAATTATAATAACATTTTACTAAAATTAAATTATCACAGAAGAGTTGGAGACCTAATGAAAACAGGATTTAAAAAAAATTTACAACGTGCGAATTGTTTACACATTTTTTGTTTTGTAAGGAATTTTAAAAATACTATCTAGATAAAATTAAGTTCTTTTCTTTTAAAAGATACTTCACAAATTTGCCCTTTGTATAAATTTTCTTCAGAATTTACTAAAATCAGGTTAAAATTTTCATATTGTGTTTTAAAGTGTTAATGTGTTCTGTAAGCATAGTTTTAAATTGTTTTGGATTTTTTTTAAATTAATAATAATTTTTGGCTCGTTACTTCTATATAAACTAAATTGCAATCCAGTTTCTATAGTTATAACTGTTTATAAAAAAAATTTCAAAAATTCTCCTTTTGTATAAATTTTTCTCAAAATGTGTCAATTTTTATATTGTGTTTTAAAGTGTTAATGTGTTCTGCGAGCATAGTTTTAAATTGTTTTGGGTTTTTTAAAAAAATAATTCATGTTACAGAAACCATTACAATAATTTTTGGCTTGTTTCTCCTATATAAACTAAATTGCAATCTTGATAGTTAAATTTTTGAAAAGATTTAAAAATATAATACATACACACACATAGGCTTAAAATACGATGAGATGAGCTTTTCTTTTTGGAACCACCAAAACTTAATTACTATCAAATTTAACTACTAAAAATGTGTAGACTTTTTGATTTTGTAACAAAAGTATAAAAATAAATTTTCTTATTTATTTCTAGCATAAAATGAGTGTTAAGTTATTTAGTTGCTAATTTAAAAAAGATTAAAAAAGTGTATTAATCAGTGTAATGATTATTATATAAAGTCATGAAGTTTTTCTCGTGTCCATTTTCAAAAAAGTTTTCAAAAACTCGCAAAAAATCAATTTCTAACAATAAGTGGTATGTGTGCCCCAGTATAGGACTTGACTGCAATTTTAAAAAGGATTTAGAAAAAAATGGTAATTTTTAATAATTTAATAAATAATGTGGCTAATTAATTCCCTTTAAAACAGAAATATTATGATACGGGTCTATCTTAGTATGAAATGATAGGAACAAACTGGCAAAAAGCTTTGTATTTGCTACATAAAATCTAACTTCACGTATTTGTTATCAATGACACATCAGAAAGATGCATTTGTGATGAACTTGACGTTTGTGCATTTTGTAGGTTGGGTTTTATGTGTAAAACGCAAGTATATAGCTTTTTTACAGATTTTATTACCAATTCATACGAATATAGATTCGTAACATAAGATTTCTATTTAATAGGAGAATTGGCCCTAGTTATACCTAGTAAGCACTTTGAATTATTAATATAGAGAATTTAGTAAAAATTTAAAATCACCTGAGTTTTTATTAACCCAAATTCAAGTTCATGAGATTTAATGAAACTTAAGTATTTTTGACAATTTTAATGAAATTTTGTCTAAAATTCTAAGAATAAATATGATTATTCATTTTTAGTGTATTCCGCACTCAACAGATGGACGACTGTGCCAATAAATGTCATTATTCTTTTCAAAGAAATTTTTTTTATATATTTTTGTGAAAAATGAGTTATTTCTTTAAACATATATTTTATACTCTCATTTCATTTCATTTATTCAAATTAATCAGGTTCATATTTTCTATATTAAATATTCATATAAATCTTATCTAGAATTAAATCTCGGGGTGAAATTACGTGCTAAGGCTAGTGGCGCACTCTATGGAGTGGGAAAACAACTAAAATTGAGGTAAAGGCATGGCAGACGTGTTTGCGAACTATTTTTACTTTTTTTATTTAGAAAAATTGGGCCTCTTACCTTAAAGATTACGTCCTTTATTTTATGGTTTATTATTATCAAATTGCAATTGAAGTATTGAGAAATAATTATTTTTAGCCATATTATGTTCTGTACCAAACGAAGCGTGAATCTGTATGTATACATGACATCGTCGTCTATAATAATGATGATTCGAGTTTTGTTGATTTTTGGGTGTGCCCAGGATGCGAATCGAATCGAACCCAACCCATCGAACCCATCGGACCCATTCTGATGATGCAGTACATGTACTATTTATTTATGGCACACCCATCGTCATGAAGTCACATGGAAATGGGAAAAATCGCATTATTCCGTAATACAATATGGTTTTATTACAATATATCGATTGGGACCGAGCTAAAGGTGGTGTCACACTATAAAATTAAATAAAATTTTAGTATTAACCTAATAAAAATCGAGATTCAGGTATTCAGGTTAAATGTTCAGCTGGTTATTTTGAAAGAGCTTAAAGAAGTTTTACTTCAAAAATTCTAGATTCTGTTTTTTGCATTTATTTGAAAGGTTTTTCATGAATAGAATCCGAATACTGAAGTTAACTATGCGGTTTATACATTTTTCACGATTTTTTCGTAAACGAGCTTAAAGAAGTTTTACTTCAAAAGTTTTAAGTTGTATCTTATATAGCTTGTTGGGTATCGTTTAAAAGGTCTCGACGAGTAGAAAACGATTTTGGCCAAAAATGATTATATTGTAATAAAAACGTAATATACATGACCATATCTTATTGCAAAAAATATTAGCACTTTTTTTTTAAATGTGAAGTATAGAACTTTTATAGCGAATATTGAACTTAACTATGTGATTTGTTTACAAAATATACAATTTTTGACAAATTTGTCTACTTATATACCTTTTTACGAATTTGAAGCAGAGGAGTCTAAAGAAGTTTTACTTCAAAATTTTTTGTTGCTATCTTTTATAGCATGTGGGGTATAGTTTGAAAGGTCTTTTTTAATAGAATCCGAATACTTAAATGAGTCAAAAAAAATTCTAAACTGGATAAATTATAAACGTTTTTTCTAGTTTGATGGTAGCCTTAGAATCACGCACAAAGTTTTATCTATAGTTGTCAATATGCATTGTGAAAAGTAATTGCAATTATCAG